TACCGAATCAATACAATGACTTGTGATTTATTCAACTCAATGTATATAATCTATGTCAATTCAACTGTTCTTTGTCACGTGATCAACATTTTTAACCTTTTAAAATTAGGGGATCCATGTTTGAGGTCGCTGCGTTGAAAAAGAAACAAAATATTTGAAAAATCAACAGAACGACATAAGAGCTATTAAACGACACTTGTGTCGTTCTGTCTATAAATACGATTATACGTAGCCACGACCCATCCATGCCTTAAGACTCAATAAATTGAACGCATTTCAATTGCAATATGAACATTTCGTTTACAAAAGTTGAAAGATGTGCTCATTGATTATATTTTCTAACGAATCAATACAACGACTTGTGATTTCACCAACTCAATATCGCATAATCTATGTCAATTCAATCATTCTTTGTCACGTGATCAATCTTTCTAACTTTCTTAAGTTAGGGGATCCATATTTGAGGTCGCTACCTTGGGAAAAGAAGGAAAATATTTGAGAAATCAACAAAACGACACAATAGCTGTTAAACGACACTTGACACAAGAATACGTAGCCACAACTCATCCATGCTTAAAGAACGAATAAGTTAAACTCATTTAAATTGTAAGATGGACATGATATTTACAAAAGTTGAGAGATATACTAATTAATTATAGGATTATACTACTTCAACATAATAGACACCATAATGATGTTCATAATGCCCAAGTGGCGCCCCCCTATTGGAGGAGGCGCCGGTCCCACAAGCGCCCCCTCCAATAGAGAGGCGTCACTTGGGCATCATGGACACCATTATGGTGTCCATTATGTACCCCAAACATCACCCTTAATTATATTATAATGAACTAGTAGAATAACTTATGTTTTTATCAACTCAATATCATATGATCCAATCATTTAAATCATTCTTTTTCATGTGATTAACGTTTCTATCTTGCGCACGTTAGTGAGTCTAATACTTGAAGTTTTGAGTTAAAAATAAATCAAAATATAGAAGAACTCAACAGAATGACACATGTGTCATTACTGAGAAGAAAACGATCCATGGGTCGTTCTATTTGGAAACACGATTATAAAACGGCCACGTCCTATTCACGACTCCAAGGACCAATAAGTTGAACTCATTTAAGTTGTAAGATGAGATGAGATGATATGTACAAAAGCCTAGAGATATGCTTATTATTTATATTTTAATTAATCGGTAGAATATCTTTTACTTTCACTAATTCGATATTACATAATCTATGTCATTTCAATCGTTCTTTATCATGTGAATAACTTTTTCATTTTATTTATGTTTGATGGTCCAATGCTTAATGTCTTTGTCTTGAAAATAAATTAAAATATTGGAGAATTCAACGGAACGACATAAGTTCCTTTATTGAGAAAAAATGATCCTTGTATCGTTCTATTTGTAAAAACGAATACAAGCGGTCACGCTTCATTCGTGTCTCAATAAATAATAAGTGAAACTTGTTTACATTATAATATGTACATGAAATGTACATAGATTAAGTAATATGTTCATTAACTTAATCAACGCATATGGGTAGGATGACTTGTGCTTTCACCATTTCAATAATATAAAAGCTATGTCATTTCAACCGTTCTTTATAATATTGTCAACATTTCTATGTTACATACATTATGGACTCTGTTATTAGAAGTTATTTAAATTGAAAATGATTAAATATAGGTAAAAACTTTTAAACGGTACAAGTGTCGTTACTGGACATGAAAACGACACGTGTAGTTACATGTGTAAACATGACTATAAGTAGTTATGATCCATACATGTCCCTAAAAAATAATAAGTTGGACTTATTTATATTGTAATATACACATGACATGTACAAAAGTTGATAGATATGCTCATTAATTTAATCGACACATATGAGTAGGACAACTTATGATTTCACCATCTCGATAATATAAAAACTATGTCATTTCAATATTTCTTTGTGACATGGTCAAATTTTCTGTGTTATTTACGTCAATAGTTCATTATTAGAGATTGTTTCGTTGAAAAAAATCAAATCACAGTAGATAACGACTGTAGTGCCGTTTTACGCAGCGAAAAGCGACTGGAGTGATGTCTTACATTTTGGATAACAGCTGGAATGTCATTACCATCCAACAGAAAGAAAAAAAAAACTAAGTATAAAAACAACACCCACTTAAATATTATTCAATAATAAATATACAATTTATATTAAATTTTTAAAATTATATTTCTTCTTTCTTCAAATCTAAATGGGATCTTTTAATATAGATAATAAATGTTTAACCGATTTCCAAATAGGTGAAGAATATAATGACGAATAGGATTTTAGAGTAGCAGGAATGGTTGAAGAGAAGAAATCGGGTTAATGTGAATTTGAGGACCAAAAATTGAATTGAAGAATTTAATTGGATTGATAAGGGTGTTAAGGTTTTTTCTAATAATGAGGACATTTATGACATTTAACCTTATTTGTTTATTGTGTTTAATAGTTGAATGTTATTTGTTCAAAAAACATTAAAAGGAGGTTATATAACCAATAACATTATTTGACTACACTTTTTAACAAATTCCCCCTTTCTTAAAGTGTTAACATCATCTAGGGCCTTTATAGTTTATAGTCTAACTTGTGTAAATTTTCCTATTTATTTCTTGCATTTTCTATTTTATGAAAAATAATGGAAAATAGATAGAATAAATAATGAAAATTAGGATTGCACAAAAAAATCGTGAAACCACAAACAAAACTGAAACCATTGAGTTGAAACAATTGGTTTGGTTCCACATGGACCTGTGGTTTTTCTCCCTCGAACCGAATCAAACCGTTTCAAAATGGTTTGGTTTAAATTTTGATTTTCAAAGATCGCACAAAATCGAACCAAACCATTTTAAAATTTTTTATTAAAACATTAATTTTATTAAATTAAAAATTTTACAGTTTTCACTTTTCGGAAAAATACAAATTTAGGAATACAAATTACAACCAACCTATTAAAATAATCATAGAAAGTAAATTGGGTTCATCATCATTGGCCTATTATTTAACAAGTTCATAACATATGTTTTCACCCGATATCGAAATTAAACTAAAATTATTCTCAAATCATATGAAATGAAAAAAACATACATTTTCAACAATTCAAATCATAATTCAACAAAACTACATCAACAAATTACGTCCAAAGTTTCAGAAGTGCTAATATAAACTTTCATTTTCCTAACATTTGAAGTTTGTCTGCCACTGTTTAATGAATCGTCAATCACCTTTACCTGTTAGTCTGCTAATTTTTACTTGAATAACATATTTCTCCCTTCTATTTCGATAAGTTTTAGATTCTCATTCAAACCATTTTTTCGTTGTTCTTTTTTTTATTTGTTATTTATGGACTTACTATATACTTATGAATTGGGGTTTGGATATAAAAATAATTGTTTGTGTGCTTAGGTGATTAACAAATTTGTTTGTGGTTTGGAAAGAACGAAAAACGAATCGTATTGATTGTGTGAAAATAATAAAATTCTCTAACTAGTACTAATACCTTCTACTTTCATAAAATAGTTCGAGAAATTCATCAATTCTGAATAAGCTGAAACTCTATCAATCTTTGTACATCTAAACATATCCTGTTCAATCTATATTTAACATCTCATTAACAAGACGAAATGAGTTTTAACCAAATTATAATAGCAGAATGTAATTCTACCTTTACTAAACCGCTATATGACAATATAAATGTCAATCAAAAAAAGGTAAATAAAAATGAATAAAGATGTATTTGTTCTATTAACATTTTTTAGCAACCAATTTTGAAAATAATTTACGTATGAGTTTCATGGTAAATATGAATGTAATTTAACATTTAACATTATTAGTTCTCATTTAAAATTATATTTTAACTTATGATAAATATATTACTGTAATGTCAATAGGTAAACTACAGACTAAAACCAAACCAAACAGCAAATTTTGGTTTGATTTGGTTCGATTCGAAAAATAAAATGGTCTGGTTTGATTTGAAATTTTTTCAAACCGCATAAAATGATTTGAGTTGAAAATATAGCACAAACTGTTCAAATCAAACCGTGTTCACCCCTAATGAAAATCATCAAAAAAAAAAAGGAAAAATTATATAAAGTAATGGATTAAATTAATTATGCATAACTCTCTATATTCTACTGAGAATTGTAATCAATAGTTAAAAGTAAAAATTAAAGGAATTGACACAAATGGTCTCTAACCTAAGGAATTATGTGTAAATGATCTCTAACCTTCAAATCTTGGAGCAAACATTTCAAATTTTACTTAGGGAGGGGAATTGATCCTTTTGGATGATTTACATCCAATTGAATGTTAAAAATCTCAAACTTCTGATAATAAAATTGAAAAATCCTGACTTTCAGTTAGATATATAAAATAAATTAAAAAAAATGACAAAAGGAGAGACAACTCATCCTATCCATCAATCTCTTTAAAATCATTTCCAATGTAATATTGACGTGCTTTAAAAATCATGTCATATAAGCAAAATAGTGTGTGTTTAAATACAACTTGATAGTGTCTCTGCCATGACAGAATGACAGAAAAATATATACATTGAAAGACTTTCAATCTACATTCATTTCACACTCAAGTTCTAAAGTATTTTATTATCTTAAAAAAAATCATTTTCATGTAGGTCCACGCATACTTTCAAAAAAAGCCATGTATAAGCTACTTTTAAGCGAACCCAAACATTAACCCTAAGAAGTATTGATGCATGTCCCTTTAAACAAACCAGTTCACAACTTCAAAATAACACTCCACATTGCTCAGATTTCTTCTTTATTCTTTGTGAACTCCTCATTCCATTTCTTTGATATTTTTAGATATTCTTTCGCTATGATTCAAGCAAAGGTTATAAAGAAATTTCATTTTTATATCAAACCCAGTTTAAAGATGAAGAACCTAAAATTATAATTGAGGTTTTAACATATAGCTATATATTGTCTATGAACATAGAGAAAAGCCTGTTTCCTTTGCAGAATAAGCTTAAGATCTTATACAAGAGAACAAAGATAAGCCTGTTTCCGTTGGAGAATAGGATTAAGATCTTATACAAGACAACAAAGATAAAGAATCAAGTTTATAAAAATTGTAATCAATAAATTTAAAAATGTGTAGGGAGTCATAACGCCAAACCTGAATAATCATTTTCATCTCAAACATACACCAGTACCAGACTAAGTTTGTTGCTTCCCAATCTGTTTGTGTACTGAAGCTTCTCGTTGCATTCAGATAACCATAGTCACAATTGAATGCCAAATTTTTCCGAGAGAATGCATGTCTACTTGAGCAGATGGGTTAGAATTATGCAGATACATTAGATGCGTTATTCGCCATCTCTTTCACCATGGTCTTGACAAAAAGTTCCCCAGCCCTATACGAGGACCGAACCTGGAGGGGCCAAAATGCAAAAGAAATTACTGCAGAGCCCTAGAGAGAGATGAATACACGATCCGCTAATTATGACAAAAATGAAGTGTGCTTTTAATTTATATGAATCACGCAAGTGCACAAGCAATGATGAAATCAGTTAAGTAGTTTCAGTTGGAAAGACTATTGATTAATTGAATGCAAGAACCTCTTTTCATTATGAATTATTTTCTTCAGCTGCTCGAAGTGTGTTTGAAAATGTGTGTAAAGTGACAATAGTGCAGTTGGATTTCCAGACAGGAATAGATTTAATTAATCTCCTAACAATGCCTTAATTTGTTGCTTCTGTGCTGAAGTCATTTTCTATTCCTTAGTCTTCTAGAATGTGATAGCAATTGCTCAGCTCATTTCCAATATATGTTACTGTTAATTTATGATAGACATCTAATCCTTACTACAGACATTTACTTCATTTCCAATATTGTCAGCTTCTTTGGAGTTCAATTCTAAGTGTATATTTGGTAAAGTTTTTTCAAGCTTATAGCTGGCCAAACATTATTTTTTATCACCACATCGCGTAGGATCCATAGCTTATGATCTACACACAAAAAATAAAAAAATAAAAAACTTAACAAACATTCTCTGAATAGACTCCTTCATTCAAGAAGTTCTTCAACTCTGTTCTGGACATCTATTTCTTCATCTTACAGACATCAGTTTTTTATTATTAGGCATCTATTTCTCCTTTATTTGTTAAGGATGTTTATTTATATTACATAATTATGTTTCTTCACATATTCAGGTATTTTGAAGTTTTTTGAAGCATGATTTTCATCTCTGCCGAATGTCAACAATAGTTTGGACATCCGAAGTCCTGTTTTAGTTGTTGCTTATGCATCAATTATTAATTTTAATATTTAAAAGAGTACAGAAGATATTCACTTAATTGACCAAGATAAGTCGCTCAAATACTTCCTAAGACATTCAAGTGTGTGCCCACTTGAGGTTTAAAGGGACCCATATCCAACAATTATTCCTATAGTCAACGAGAGCCAAAATTTATGAGATGTTTTGAGACTTATAAAGAATGTGAGAAGAAAAAACTATTTGGCATCTTTTTCCAAATAAACTATTGAATTGAATCTATCAGGGTACATCGATAGAAAGAATAATGTTATTAGTTAAATCTGCTAAATTTATTTAATTATTTTGCTAGGACAAACAAAATTGTCATCACCTCTGAGGAAAAAAAATATATATTTCTAAAGGCAATAAGGTGGAGATGTTTACCATGGGTCCGCTTGCAACATAACAGAAACCGATTGACTCTCCATAATCTTTCCAGAAGGCAAATTTTTCGGGCGTGACGTAGTCTTTGACAGTAAGATGCAATGGAGTTGGCTGCAGGCAAGGAATGGAAGTAATTTAATTTCAGTCCTTAAATATGCTTCAAATAGACTAAAGCAACTGTCAATGGCCTAATAATATGAAATTAATATTTTGGCAACCTTAGTTAAGGGCCTTAAGGCATATCTCCAAGGAAAAGCAAAGACTGCT